TTCAAAAGAATTGAAAAATTCAACAAATCTTTGACATTTTTATTTTATTTTGCTAATTTTCACTGGTTTCTCATTGTATCTAAAACCTATCATCAAGTCTTTTTAAAGTTATGGAAAAATATACATAATATATAAAACTTACCATTTTACCAACCATTTCAGTGGCATTATTTAAGCACATTCAGGTTGTTCTGCAACCATTATCATTCTCCATCTCCAGAACTTTTTTCCTCTTCCCAGACTGAAATTCTGTACCCATTATACACTAAGTTACCATTCCTCTCTGCCCCAGCCCCTGGCAACCACCACTCTACTTTCTGTTTCAAAATTTGACTATTCTGTGTGTGTCATATAAGTGGAATCATAATATTTGTCCTTTTGTGACTGGCTTACTTCACTTAGCATAATGTCTTTGGGGTTCATCCATGTCATAGCAAGTTCATCCATGACAGAATTTCCTTGCTTTTTAAGGCTGAATAATCTTCCATTGTAAGTATAGAACACATTTGTTTATCCATTTATCTCTGATGGACACTTGGGTTGCTTCTACCTTTTGGCTGTTGTGAAAAATGCTGCTATAAACATGGGTGTATATATATATCTGTTCAACTCCCAGCTTTCAGTTCTCTTGAGTACATACCGAGAAGCGGAATTGCTGAATCATTTGGTAATTCTACTTTTCATTTTTTGAGGAACCGTCGTACTGTTTTCCATAGCTGCATCATTTTACATTCCCACCAACAGTGCACAGGAATTCCAATTTCTCTACATCCTCACCAACATCTGTTATTTTCTTTTTTGTTTTGTTTTTTTAATAATAGCCATCCTAATGGGTGTGAAGTGCTTCCAAGAATTTTTAGACTCCTTTTGTTATGGAAATTTCCCAATATATAAAAAAATAGAGCAAATAGTAGTTGAACTCCCATATATCTGTCACCTAGCCTCAATAATTATGAACACTTGTCTAATCTTGTTCCAATTATAATCTGTCCTTCCTCCCCCACTATTGGAACGCAGACCCCAGTCATCATAAACTTAAAACGAATTAATTTTTAAATCGAAGTATAGTTGATTTATAATATATAAACTTTCTTTTTTTTCTGTTAAAGCAAAATAAAGCATAAAACAGTGTTATAATATAAGTAGTGTATTGTGAATTTTACTGGCATCACAGCTGTGTATTTGATTCAGTGATCCATACCTCTTGTGTCGTTATTAACAAATATTTTCTTAGCATCATTCTTGCTCTTGTACAGTGCAGGTATAGATATACTTTACATATGCCTTCATCTACCCTTGCCTTCTTGCTTGTTAACAATTTATGAGTAAAATTTTAAAATACACAGTTACTATGATCACAAGCTGCCTCGTCATTTGTAAACACAACTATAACAGCATATCAGTACCTGCCAAAAGAAGTCATATTATATTGGAAAAGAGTGAAGCAACATCATTATAGACATAGCCTTGAATTACCTCTAATATTTTTTTAATTGAGGTATAAATGTTGACATACAACATTATATTAGTTTCAGGTGTACAAAAAAATGATTTGACATCTGTATATATTGTGAAATGATCACCATGATAAGTATAGTTAACATCCATCACCACTCATAGTTACAGAATTATTTTTTCCTTGGGATGAAATTTCAGATTTACTCTTAGCAACTTTCAAATATGCAATAGCGGTATTATTAACCATGCTGTACATTGTAGCCTTGTGACTTATTTATTTTATAACTGGAAGTTTGTGCTTTCTGACTGCCTTCATCTGTTTTGCCCACCCCATGTCCCCACCTCTGGCAACCACTAATCCTTTACCTATGCAGTTCCTATTTCTTTTTTCTTTCTTAAAATTTATTTTTTTAAAGATTTTTTTGATGTGGACCATTTTTAAAGTCTTTATTGAATTTGTTACAATATAGCTTCTGTTTTACGTTTTGGTTTTCTGGCCTTGAGGCATGTGGGATCTTAGCTCCCCGACCAGGGATCAAACCCACTCCCCCTGCATTGGAAGGTGAAGTCTTAACCACTGGACTGCCAGGGAAGTCCCCTGATTTCTTTTTTTTAAAAAGACATCATATACTTTCATTTGTATGTACTTCAAAATACTGTATACCTCAAAGTTAAGGACTCTTTTTTTAACATAACCATAAAAGCATATTATACCTAAAAGTTAACAATAATTCTTTTATCATCAGATACCTAGTTTGTATCACCTATATCTTTATGCTCAGTTTCTTTTAATCTGATGGTACAGGAAACAAAGGGTTAACAGGTCACTCAGAGATGACAGTTTACATTGTTAACCAAGATTCAGTTACAAGTTTTAGTTTGTTCACTCTACCAGCAAGAACTCTGTTTTTTTTAAACCATTAATGCTCTTCTTCCTGATATTCATTGACATTTGTATATATACCATAAACAGTACATTAGGCTACTTCCTTCAGCAAATAAGGTGAGCTTAGTTCTAGGGTTACCTTCTGTTTGATTTATTATTATTCTTTTAATAAATTTATTTACTTATTTTTGGCTGTGTTGGGTCTTCGTTGCTGCGAGCAGAGGGCTACTCTGTTGCGGTGCTCGGGCTTCTCATTGTGGTGGCTTCTCTTCGTTGCAGAGCATGGGCTCTAGGTGCGCGGGCTTCAGTAGTTGTGGCATGTGGGCGCAGTAGTTGTGGCTCACGGACTCTAGAGCGCAGGCTCCGTAGTTGTGGCACACGGCCTTAGTTGCTCCGCGGCATGTGGGATCTTCCTGGACCAGGGCTCGAAGCCATGTCCCCTGCATTGACAGGCAGATTCTTAACCACTGCGCCACCAGGGAAGTCCCCCTCTGTTTGATTTATGTTTATGTGTTTATCTGTTAAAACTAGCCATTTTAAGGGGCTCTAGAAAATACACCTAAAGGCAGAACACAGGATGAAAATATATCTTCAAATTTATCTACATATCTGATAGAATGTGCTGGTAGAGATGTTTACATTTTGGCTTTTTTGGAGGTGGGGGCTGGTAATTATACATTTGCAACTATACATTTTCTTAACGTTTATCTCAGTGTTAAAAATGAGAATCTATTTACAGAGGTCAGAAGTCCTCTTGGCAAAATCAAGTTGTTGCTTGATTCTTTAACATTGGATCATTTGGAATCTAAGCTTCAATAGAGCCAACTGAAGGCTGTGGGAAAAGAAGGAGAGGCACACACAATTATTAATTCTTTTTCCCTCCTTTAGTTTTCTTAATTTGCACAGAAGACCACAGTATACAGTATACCCTACTGTATACTGTGGTCTAATGTTTGAAGGAAGTCTTGTTCAAGATACAGGGAAAAGAACACCCTATGATTTAAGATTCCATCAGTGTTCAGGTGTAAGAATGCAGTTCTCTTGTCAGGCACAGATAAATGAGTTAGTTAAAGGCAAAGCTAGTTCTTTCTCTATGGCTCTATTTATATATTTTCTGTGTGTTGTTTTCTTTTGTTTTTTGGTTTTGTTTTTTTTTTAAGAGGGCTGTTTTGTTGATTTATTTATTTCAAAGAAAGTTGTACTATAAGGTTTCTTTTGTTTCTTTTTAAAAAATTTTTATTGCAGTATAGATTTACAATGTGTTTCAGGTGTACAGCAAACTGAATCAGTTATACATATACATATATCCACCTTCTTTTTAGATTCTTGTGTGCTGTCTTACTAATTAACAATTTTCTTTTTGCTTGAAGATAGCTTATATCCTTGTTGAGTAAGTAACCTCAGTAGCTAGGAGCACAGAGACCTCAGAGTGATAGTGACACTAAAATTATTTCCCATTCTTCTTGTGTTGTTGTGATAGTATTGATGGTAGTAATATGGGTAGTAATATAGTGACCCTTATATAGTATTTACCATCTGCCAGGCAAAAACTAAGTTCTTTACATGTATTAACTTACACAACAACCATATGAGATAGATATTATTATCCTCATTTTACTGATGAGGTATTAAGGCACGCAGAGGTTAGTAACTGACTACTCCAAGTACAAATAACTAGTAAGTGGCAGAGCTAGGAATTGATCTGAGGCAGCCTGGCACCAGGGTCCTTCCTCCTAACCATTATACTGTACTGTACTTATTTGACACCCATATAAATAAAGGGAAATGTGAGATAAAAATGTTCTTAACATCTCTGTGGGCTCTATGGAACTTATTATTTGTTCATTCAGTGCTCCCTGTAGAATCAGTGATTACAGAGAGAACATTTAATCTCAAAGCATTCATCCCTATTTTCAAACTAGTATTTTCAGATCTGTTCTCCATCTGAGACCTTGCATTTAGAAGAAGTACACTTGAACTTTTTAGTTTAATTGGCAGATCAAGAGCTTACAGACAGGATATTGCCTTTGAGTATTTAGACTGTATTTGCTGACCTCCTGAAGCAGTAATTTGGCACACTGTTCTACTACAGTTCAGCAGTATTAGGGGTTCTGACTTCAAAGTGTGTATGTGTGTGTTTTATATATATATCTTTGTAGATAGGCCACTTCTCCACAAATGGAGCCAATCTTTTACAAATTCTAAAAACCTTTCAGAGCATTTAAATCCAAAAAATATCTAAGCATTTGAAGTAGAACTATGAGCAATGCAAAATGTTACCTTTCTGGAGACTTGTGATAAGTAGTAACAACCTGCCCGCTTCTAAATGCTTGAAGTTCAGGCCAAAGAACCTCCAGTTAATCTTGCAGAGTTAGTTCTTATTTGGGCACCGATTTACATATACTTTTTATCTTTAAGTCTGAGTTAATAGCCACTATTTGTTAAGAAAGCCAATGTTCTGTTTTCTTTTGTTTCCTTTGTCTTGGGTTATGTGGATCTGGCTATGCTCTGGTTAGAACACATTTCCTCTGGTGCTTTGGGTCAGTCAAGTGTTTGGGTGTTTGGCTGCAGGGAGGAATAGATCACCATTTCTGCCCATCAAGTGTGCATCTTATGGAGATAGATGACTTTCTCATGCTAATTTTCTTTCCCCTAGGTTTATGAAGGCCTAGACATCATCACCAACAAGGTTTCTGCCCAAGAGCAGAGAATGTGCCAGCACCACATGATCAGCTTTGTGGATCCTCTTGTGACAAATTACACAGTGGTGGACTTCAGGAACAAAGCAACTGCTCTGATATCCTTAGGAAAGACAGCAACTAGGCTTGGTGGCTGCAAGGCAGCCCAAGCCAAGAAAGTTTTCTTCCTAGTGACAATTTCTCCTAAGCAGAGGTACCCAAGATCAATAGTAGCATCCCCATGAGAGCTATTCGGATTGAAAAGATACAGTGTTCTTGCTACTCTGAGTCTTGTCCTTAGACTGCAGCATCAGCATCACTTGGGAGCGTATAGAAGTGCTGAATTTGGGCCTCATTCTAGACCTACCGAATCAGAATCTGCATTTAAATAGAGTCGCAGGTGATTCACATGCATATTAAAATTTGAGAGGTGCTGTTTTAGTGGAGAGAACACTGATTTAGGAGCCAGAAAATCCATGTCCTAGTTTTAGAACTGCCTCGTCTGACCACAAAAATTTAATTGGGTAAAGCGTTTACCCCACTGAGCTTCACTTTCCCACCTTTAAATGGGGATAAGAAATTAATTTATAAATATAATGGAATTATAGTTAGAATTCCAAAGGGATTAGGAAAAAATAGTTCTGGGTAACACCAGGAAATTTTGGAAAAAAGAATAACATAAGGGGTGGGGGGCTGCCCTTATATTTTAATGTCCAAACTGCCTTTAATATCTGGACTGCTACATATTAAAACATATTGAAAATTCATAATAATTATAATAGCATGGAACTTACATAATACTAGACAAATTTATGGCACAGATTAGAAAAGTCAGATACAAATTCAAATGGATGTATATATTTAGCTTACGATCAAGGTGGCATTTCAAAGCAGTGGAGAAAGAATGTAGTAGTTAATAATTATTCCTGGGACAGTTAATTATTTTTGGAAAAAAAATCAGTTCCTTATTATATGGACATAAATTCCAGATGGATTTCAGAGTTAAGTAAATATGTATTTTTTTTAAACGAAACTGAAACAAATGGGATAACATATAATTGAGTAGTTATGTGATTTTAGAGTAGGGAAGGACTTTGTAGATCTAGTCTTTTTTTTTTTTTTAAGGATTTTTAAATTCAGTTTTTCCTTTTTATTGTGTTAAAATATACATAAAACTTACCATCTTAACCATTTATAAGTGTATAGTTCAGTAGTCTTAAATATATTCACATTGTTTTGCAGCCATCACTACCATCTATGCCATAATAGTTTTTTTTTGTTTTTTGGGTTTTTTTGAGGAAAATAGCTAGATTTGGATATGTTAGAATTAAGACTTCGTACTGGCAAGAAAGTATTTCAACCATTTCAATTCCTAGGTATCTACCCTAGAGAAGCCTTGCCACAAGTATACCAGGAGATAGGTGGTAGATCTAATTTTAACATTATTGCTCTTAACAGCAAAAACATATAAATACCCAGATTCCTACTTACAGAAGAATGTATAAAATGTGCTTTGTTCATATAAGTACTTTTTCAGCAGTGAAAATGAATAAGTTGCAGTTACACGCATCAGTCAACGGGGAAGAATCTCAGAAACAACATGAAATGCAGGAGATTATAGAAGGATACATAGATGGTCATACCATTTATTATAAAAGTTAAAAAGCAAGCAAAGTTAACCAATATGTTGTTTAGGGTTTTATATACATCAGTAATAATGTAAAGAAAAGCAAGGGAATGATGAAAAACAAACAATACACAAAACAATTCAAGACAGTGGTTCCCTCAGAGAGGGGCAGTAAGGGGTTGTGATGGGAATTACTACATAGGAAGCTTCAAAAGAATTGATAATGTTCACTTTCTTACATTGGGTTCATGAGTATTTGTTTTATTTTTAGGCTTTATTATTTACATATGCTGCATATGTTCTTTTGTATGTACTGAATATTTTATAATTAAAAATAACCCAGCTCACTAGAAACAAAATTAAAAAACAGACGAGATGCGGCCAAAAAATTTGAAAACAACAACAAAAACAGACTATAAACCAGGGGAAAAATATCTGTATCATTAGTATACTTAATATATGAAGAACTCAAAAAATACTTAAAGAGCATGAGTAGTGATTCACAAAGGAAGAAATATAAATGGTGATAAACATGAAAAAGAGTTTACCATTGCCGTTAATCGAGGCCATGCAAATCAAAATAATGAGATAATATTTTTTTGCCTATCAAGTGGGCAGAGATTAAAACGCAGATAATAATTCTTGCCCTACCTGCTTTATAAGGCACTTGTGTCAGATGAAGTAATGTATATGAAAGCCCTTTGCACATTAAAACATATCACCAGGCTTCCTTGGTGGTGCAGTGGTTGAGAGTCCGCCTGCCGATGCAGGGGACGCGGGTTCGTGCCCTGGTCCGGGAAGATCCCACATGCCGCGGAGCAGCTAGGCCCGTGAGCCATGGCCGCTGGGCCTGCGCGTCCGGAGCCTGTGCTCCGCAACGGGAGAGGCCACAACAGTGAGAGGCCCACGTACCACCAAAAAAAACAAAACAAAACAAAAAAACGTATCACCAAATGAACATTGTTGCTGTAAGACAGGTCAGTTGTTCAGAAAGGACTGATGGAAAGTGGAGAGCTAATTAAAAGAGTTAAAGGGCAGCAGCAACAGGGGATGACTTAATCAGATCACTTAGAGGATTGGAGATTTGTGAATTTAAGTAAGAACCTAGAATCAAGAGTGTCAGAACTGAAAGTACCTTAAGAAGTATTCGATCAACCTTCTTGATTTGACAGGTGAGGGTAGTAGATACTGAGGCCCAGAGAGAAAGGCCTTTGCTTAGGATCACAGTCGTTTCATGGCTTGGGCAAACATGTTAAACCTTTTCCCACCAAATAACTCCTATCCCATCTCCCTCCCTCTTTTCCATCTCTCCCTTCTGGTATCTCACCATTTCCCCTTCCCCTTTTATTTTCCTTGCTTCCTTTCCCTTTGTTAGTCAGATTATATATTTGAAGTTTTATTACAATTACTGTGTAATTGTATGCTTCTTATACTTAATTTATAGGGGGGATATAGAATTTGTTTCTCTTTTTAAAAAACGAATAGACACGTTTCTTCCTTATGCTCCTTGATTAGTAACATCTTTCTCCCCACCCTACCCCAACCTCTTATAGAGGGCTTCTGTCAGAAAAGAGGTCATCTATCTCTGTGCCCACAGACTGGCTGGCAAGGGGAAGAAGTGTGTAAATGAGTCTTTATCTGGGTTGAAAGTCTCTTTATCAGTTATTCTCAGAAGGAAAGCCCTTCTTAAAGCAGATAATTATCTGTTCAACAGAGATTCTAAAGAGAAAAATTCCAAGTAGCAGTGGTGTAAAAACAATAATGACTAAATTGAGTGCTTACTCAGTTGAAAAAAATATTTCAGGCATTGTCTTAGGGATTTTATTTGCACTGTCACGTGTAATGCTCATAAGAACTCATGAGGGGCTTCTGTGGTGATGCAGTGGTTAAGAATCCACCTGCCAATGCAGGTGACACGGGTTCAAGCCCTGGTCTGGGAAGATCCCACATGCCGCGGAGCCGTGCGCCACAGCTACTGAGCCTGCGCTCTAGAGCCCGTGAGCCACAACTACTGAAGCCCATGAGCCTACAGCCCGTGCTCCACAACAAGAGAAGCCACTGCAATGAGAAGCCCGTGCAACACAATGAAGAGTAGCCCCCGATCACCACAACTAGAGAAAGCCCACGCGCAGCAATGGAGACCCAACACAGCCAAAAATAAATAAATTAATTAAATTAATTTTAAAAAAAAACTCATGAGGATTTTACAGGTGAGAAAACTGAAGCTCAGACAAGTTGAATGACTTGTTGAGTGTTGGAGCTGGTAATTGAAATCTGTTTGTCTTCATAGCCTGTGCTTCCCAGTTCATCTGGTAGAGTCTCAAGTGGCTGAAATGTACACTACTACTACAAAATGGTGAAGGCTGAGTCTAAGAACTACGGCTTAGAGAAACCAGCTTGTAATTTGCCTTAGAAGGCAAAGTCACACAGTGGACATCATCTTGGTGGCTTCCTGAGCAGTTGACACTTAATTCTGTGAGAGTCCTTAGGCTTGTGCTTGTTAAGCTAATTTTGAATACTAAGCAAGCTTTGAGTTTTAGCAGCAAGGCCTAGAAAGTTCTCGAATTAGAAGGAATTACCATCATGCATCTGTCTCTGGTTTATGCAAGTCCCTCCAGAACTGATAGGAAATGATTCTGAGAACTCATGAAACAGTGAAGACTAGTATCAAAAATATGACGAATGTGGTTTCTTACTAATACCCTACTTCCAAGTGAGTCAGATTTTCTTCTTGATATTAATATTTTGATGTCTTTCTTAACATTCACATTGAAGATATATTTACCCGAGATAAAATTCCTATTGTCGTGGGAGGAACCAATTATTACATTGAGGCTCTGCTCTGGAAAGTTCTTGTCAATGCTAAGGTATGTTTAGTTCACTCGTAATTCAATGAGGAAATGGGTTCTTCTTTCTTGCCGGCTAATTTTAATGGGAGGAAAGTTGACTTTTGCGTGTTTCTTATACTCAGCAACTGTACTAACTTTCCTACTTAATATTCTGAAGCAAATGCCCCCCTCCATATGTGAAGTGTGCTTCTCCAGGCTGGCCTAAGGACAGGGGCTGTGTGTGGGAAAAATGCTCCTCTGTGGATTAATTAGCATCTCCGTGTAAGTTAACAGTACATTAGTCTGATTCAGCATTTCCTGGCTGAAACAATCTATATGTCAGGGAGATATCTGACACTAACCATTCTTACAGAGGTGCTGTTGCATAGGGTGGGACTTTGCAGACTATAATGTGCTGGAAATTCTGGTCCACTCTTTGGTTATACTTGTTGAGAAGACTAGACTCCTGGATGTGTTAATATAGATGTGTTAGCCTGGGTAGCTTGTACTCCCTGAATACTTCCCTAGACACCTAGTCCTCTTTCCTCTTTGTTTACTGTGGCCTCACAGCACTACCATGGTGTATTGGAATTTTCTGTTTATGATCTGTGTCTCACTATATGGCAAGATCTTCTGATTCATCTCCATTCTGTGTTCCTGAACACTTAGTAAAGTGCCTGGCACATACAGTGTTTCAGTGTTTGTTGAATTTTTGAATTAAATTTACTACTAAACCTTCATTTAATAGCCCTGGGAGATGGGCACTGAGAAAGTGATTGACCAGAAAGTTGAGCTTGAAAAGGAGGATGGCCATGCGCTCCACAAACGCCTAAGCCAGGTGGACCCAGAAATGGCTGCCAAGCTGCACCCACATGACAAGCGCAAAGTGGCCAGGTAAGAAAGCTGGGAGCCAACTGACGCCAAGCCCCTTTAGCGTTAGAGGGCAGTCAGTTGTTAAGTGTGCCTGGGTGAGATAGGTTTGGTAATAGCAGTTAGTGGAGATTGATGTGTTTTAGCTCAGCAGGTTAGGAGGTTAGGAGGCCCAGAGTTATTGCCTCAGTCCAACTCCCTCAATAAATAGTTGCACCCTACTTTGTTGTTGTTACATTTAAAATGCATAATACAATACAGTTTTTCCCTAGGGCCTATGTAATCTTGCTTCATTTTCTATTTGATCTTTGCTTTTATAACAGTTTTCATATACATTTTTTCTGGCATGCAGTCAGCTGACATTGTGATTTAGGTTTCATAATTGATTGTGCAATGCTGAGTTCTGCCCCAGCAGCTTGCCCAGTGGGAGACAGGTTTTATAAACTGTCTTATAGATCAGTTCCCCTTTACACATGGAGACTTTCTTGAAGGGAAGAGAGAGATGACCTTATTAGTTCATTAACCATGTTTTGTTAGGTTGCTTTGAAATTGCAGCCTCGTGTGTTAGGTATACTTTTCTTTCTTCCTTCCTTCCTCCCTCCTTCCTTCCCTCCTTCCCTCTCTCCCTCCCTCCTTCCCTCTCTCCCTCCCTCCGTCCCTCCTTCCCTTCCTTCCGTCCCTCCCTCCCTCCCTCCCTTCCTAAGATTAGATGGTTTATTTTTTCCTCCGTAAATATGCATCTTCATTGGCTCCATATTCTGTTCACTTCTGACTGCATCTTCGTTTTATCAGTCATTTTATCTATTTTTTTCCTTCCAGTTTTATTGAGATATAATTGACATACAGCACTGTGTAAGTTTAAGGTGTACAGCATAATGATTTTCCTTATGTATATCATTAAATTATTACCACAATAAGTTTAGTGTACTTATTACATAGACACAAAATAAAAGAAAAAGATTTTTTCTTGTTATGAGAACTCTCAGGCCTCACTCTTAACTTTCATGTATAGTATACAGCAGTGTTGGTTATATTTATCATGTTGTACATTACATACCTAGTACTTATTTATCTTGTAACTGGGAGTTTGTACCTTTTGATTGCCTTCATCCAGTTCCCCCTTCCCCCACCCCCAGCCTCTGGTAACCACACATCTGATTTCTTTTTCTATGAGTTTGTTTGTTTTGAAGTATAATTGATCTAGAACACTATGTTGAATCCTAGTGCGCAACATAGTGATTTGATATTTCTGTACATTACAAAGTGATCACCACTGAGGTGTACTTTTCTGTAGTGCCGGAAGCGATACCTTATCTGGCAGAGTAGAGGACCTACTATATAGATGGTTATACACATTAGATATTTATAGCAACATTTGGTATTGACAGGGGTTATGAAGTATTACACTCAAATGAGTATTCTAGATCGGTGTTTCTTAATCCTTTTCTATTATCCCCCCTGCCCCTGAAGCCTTTTTAGAAATTTTTTTCCTAATTGTGCTTCCCTCCCTCCCCTCCATGAAATTTTAATACTGAAGAATAAGATTTTGGGAGAGCGCCACACATCATTGTAATATCTAAGGTTTTTTTTTCCTCCCTTGAGGGCAATGTCACCCTGTTGATAATACATATTCTAGATAAATGAAGTTTATACTTTGCAGTATCCAAACACTTTATTTTTAAACATTTAAATAGAAATCTTCCAAAAACTTTTTGGAAAACTCAGGGACACTCTGATGAACATTCATTTTTGTATCGTTTTATGGTAGGAGTCTAGAGCTTGGTTGTTACTGTCTGCTCCTTTTATTAATCAGTTCTTATCGTTTCTCCTTATTTTGCGACTTCTAAACTAGTAATGAGTTGAGAATGTGTTTTCGTAAGAACAGTAGGTTCTAAGCAAGAGCTCTAGAGTCTCTAAAAGAAGATTGGAGGACTTCTTTCATCTTTCTTTTAGTTTGAGGCTGTATTCTAGCCTCCAGATAAGTAAGATATCTATTACATTTTTCCCTCTTAGGTCCTCTCTGAGTGACCAGTGATAGGGAAAGACGAGGGGTCTCTACTCTTGTGTTAGGGTTTCAGGAAGTAGAATTGGATCAGGAAGGGAAAGATCACTTTCAAGCCGATAAGTTGCAATCACCCAGAGTGGTAGAGTATAGATTTGAGAGTTAAATTACCTAGTGCTGCATGACATAATAGATGCTGACAGAGTGGATAGTGGCTTAAGAATAAGTGTGTAGTTCTTTCTTCAGTGATCTTTGTGCTAGTAGAGCACTGAATTAGTCAGAAGCATTTTTCATCAATTTTAGACATATTTAAAAAGAAAGTTGATGAGCTGGATATACAGCATACTTTTGTACTGTGGGAAAGGCATTCCAGCGAGACTAGACTTGTTGGCTTATAGCAAAGTGTCCCAGACAAGCTTTTACTGCTTACCTGAAAGTGAATATGTCCTGTTCTCTTTGTGTAGTAGAAACCTGTTGTTTCTGAACCTGTTTAACTGATTTCAGAAAATTTTATATATGTTTAGAATAGTTTTATTTCTTTCTTTACCTAAAGTTTTCTTTAGAACCCTTTTCTGAGTAGCTATAGGTTTGCAGTAACCCCAGACCTTCATGTGTTCAGGGGCTTATGCAGTGAAAATGACAGTGAGGTATTCTATAATAAATAGCCTCTCCCCTGTTTCACTTGAGAATTAATATTTCCTAATGGTTGTTGTGGGTGTGCCCACCCTCCCCTTTCAAATGACTTAGGAGCTTGCAAGTATTTGAAGAAACAGGAATCTCTCATAGTGAATTTCTTCATCGTCAACATGCAGAGGAAGGTGGTGGTCCCCTTGGAGGCCCTCTGAAGTTCCCTAACCTGTGCATCCTCTGGCTTCATGCTGAACAGACAGGTAAAAGTCCTTTGGTGTCCTAGAGTTAATCTGAGACAGCGCTTATAGTAATACATTACTGTATATAAAATCTTTAGAGTAAATCAACTATACTTCAATAAAAAGTTGTTTTGAAAAAAATGCTTTAGAACTATGAGTGGCTCATAATAAGCACTAAACAGGTGTTAGCTATTCATTTTATTATCATGATCATTATTCATTGACTTAGTAAGACACAGTGCCATTATCTTTCTGGAAAGCAGGTAAAGGTAGCCCTGGCATTAGTATAGCATGAGATGAGTATAAGATTGGTATAGGGCTTCCCTGGTGGCGCAGTGGTTAAGAGTCCGCCTGCCGATGCAGGGGACACGGGTTCATGCCCCGGTCCGGGAAGATCCCACGTGCCGCGGAGCGGCTGAGCCCGTGAGCCATGGCTGCTGAGCCTGTACGTCCGGAGCCTGTGCTCCGCAACGGGAGAGGCCACAACAGTGAGAGGCCCGCGTACCGGAAAAAAAAAAAAAAAGATTAGTATAAGCTGAGGATGAGATAAGATGGGATGGGAAAGAGACTGCCATCCAGAGAAAATCCAAAGGAGAAAGAGAAGGAAGTCTCCTGTGGAAGGAGGTCTGACTCTCTGGATTGGCTAAAGGCCTGGATCACTGACTATTTTGGAATCAGTAGGCCTGAGAAGTGGGAATGATGGTTAGCTAGCTAACTGATAGTATTTCTTTTTGGTTTTTTGCTAATGCCCTGTGATAATAGTAACTTCTTTATGCAACAAATATAACAGCAAGCATTCAATGAAGTGCCAAGTGTTCTACATAGTACTTGGATTTCAGAGATGAATGTAGACAGTACCTGTCCTTAAGGAGCTTCCGGTCTAGTTGGGCAACAAATAACGAGGTAGATACTCTGTTGTGCTAAACGCTGGGCTAGAAGGTGCTGTGGGGCCACAGAGAAGGGATGATGAGCATTTTCTGGGGACCAGTTTGTAAAGGTAACTTATGAGCTAGGTCTAGAAAAATGAGATCGTTATGGGAACAGGTGGTATAGTTTAGTGATTAAGAACATGTCTCTGAGCCAGACTGTCTGGATTCAAATTCCTGCTCCATCGTCTCTGGCTATGTGAGTTTTAAGGCAAGTTGGTTTACCTTTCTGTGTCCCAATTTTCTCTTCTATAAAATGGGGATGATAATAATAATACATATCTCATAGCTTCGTTGAGGATTAGATGAATTAATAATACGTGCGAAGTGCTCAGAATGTGCCTGGCACATGGTGAGTCCTCAGTAAATGCAAACTTTCTAGGAAGGTAGAAGAAAAGGTTATTATCATTGTAAGCCAAGAAATAGCAATGGCAGAGATGTAGAAGAGCGTAATTGAAATGGTGGAAATTTGTTAAATTAATCTCAAATTATATTATCTCAAACTTATAAGGTTGTAGAGAAAGGTAATGTTTTAATAATGAACATTTTGTAAATAAAAACGCGTTACAGTGCGGCATCGAACAGTGGCATCTGATTCACAGTAAAGCTGTGTTTGACCACATTGGAATGATTATCACCTCTCACTCTGCTCCTTTGTCTGGCTCAGTAGTTCAGGATGTACTTAGGATGGCTTTGGTTTAAAGTTTTTCATTCCTATTTAAGGTGTCATCTGAGAGTTCTTAAATATGAAATAGCATAAAGTTAGAGTAACACATATAATGGAAAAAAGTAAGAGTAAAACGGGGCTCTCAGCTGCCTCTAAAATACACAATGGATATACATTCCATACAAGAATAAAATATTTGTTCCTAGTAGCTGTAATTGTGTGCTCTTTACATAAGAAGACATGCCTCATTCTGGCTGTTTTTATTGGAATTGCAGAGTTTTAAGTGTGACTAAATATAATTATGAATTATTGTATAATCTTTGGACTCTGAACCTTTTCTTCCATTTGAACAAATTCTCTTCTTTGTGGCAGCCTATGCATTCATCATGTATAGTACACACCTTCGGCAGGCTTGCTGGTTGATGGGTTAATTTGATTCAAGTTCTAGATGAGCGCTTGGATAAGAGGGTGGATAACATGATCGCCGCTGGGCTCTTGGATGAACTAAGAGATTTTCACAGACGCTATAATGAGAAGAAAATTGTGGAAAACAGGTGAGAATTTGGCTATTACTTTCACCTACTCTCCACCCCTTGCTTACGGTCAAAAGACCGTAAACATATAATACTGGCTTTGGATCTATTGTTTGCTACCCTTCATCATTGGAAGGAGGTTTGGTGTACTTGTTACAGTTGCAATTTTCTAATCTCAGACATTCCCAGAAGTTAATTTTCAAGGGCAGTAACCTGGGAGCTGGTGGGGGAAGGTGGAGGAAGGATTTCAGAGAGGTAGTAACTGCTAAGGATCTCAGTTTCCTCATCTATGAGATGAAATGGCTCAGCTAGATCATCTCCAGTGCCCTGCTGGCTTTCAGATTCAGTGGCTCATCTGCTGATGCTCTCCTATTCCCAGCCAGGACTATCAACATGGTATCTTCCAATCAATTGGCTTCAAGGAATTTCACGAGTACCTGATCACTGAGGGAAAATGCACACCAGAGACTAGAAACCAGCTCCTAAAGAAAGGTGTGAATTCTCCATCTAACCTAGCCTTGGACATCCTTGGGTGACAGAGTGTCCTGCTGCTATGGCCTGAGAAGGAGCTGAGGCTAAAAGAGACCCAAACGGCCTTCAGCTCAGAATTGAGATTTTCACCTACCAAGTATCCACCAGTGAGCTGACGTGGCTAGTTTTCTCTAATGCTGGGCTGGATGGGCCTTCCTTTCAGCAGAGTGAGAAGTGGTTAGATAGAGGTTCTTATATCTACCTTGTCTTTCAGGTATTGAGGCTCTGAAACAAGTGACTAAGAGATATGCCCGGAAGCAAAACCGATGGATTAAAAACCGTTTTTTGAGCAGTAAGTGTCCTTGTTTTTCCTTATGCCTTGGGTCTGCTTTCAGTGGAACATAGATGTTCTCAGCTCACCCAGAAAGTGAACTTTAGTTTCTGGATCTGTTCTAAGATTTGGGACCTGACCTGGGAGGTTTTGCATAAGTGATTGTCCAGGGGTGTTTTCTTGTGATGCCTCAGAAAACAGTTCTTCCCCAGGAAGAATCTGCCTTAAGCCTTGAGCACATGAGTGCTGGCTGCAGACAGGGAAGAACAAAATAGCAATATCTTCTTAGCGGAGTTGGTGCTCAGGGTTGTTTTTAGCTTCAGATTTTGTACCTGAAGAACAGTCAGATTTCCGTAGGGAGGCTTTCCTAATTAAAATGGTTTGGGGGCCAGATAAGTAGTATAAAAAGACAAAACTTTCACCAATTCTCCCAGCATCGCTTCTGTGTTCAGATACGTAGTGCTTCAGGCTGCTGCAACTCTTTAACTTCAGTTGAACAGCACTTTTAAGGAAAAGGGAACGAAATTCTCATTCATTGGACCCTGTACTGCATCCTTAGCACTAAATTTGGTGTCATACATATGTTACTGAGCCTTCAAGGTGGGTGGTATTCTTTTCTTTTTGCAGATAAGTAAATAGAGGCTTAGAGAAGTTAAATAACTTGCCAAAATTTCCCTAGCTAATAAGCAGTAGAGTACTGAATGCGGGCCAGACTCTGAAGTCCACGCTCAGCTTTACACCATGCTTCTTATTTCCTTTAGTTATAACTTTAGCTGGACAGCATTAGTATTGGGTCTCGGGTAAGAAATTGTGTGGTTATGAGCTAAAAGGAGATTAATTTAAAGGAGATTAAGCATAAGTGAAACCCTAGTTTTATCTTTTGGGCCCTTTTTTTAATATGCTCTTGAATCATCCCTGTTTACCTTTTGCCATTGGATTTCTGCTTTCAGTTACAGATACGCACAGCTGAGGTCTCGCCCTCCTCTCAGTGCCTCTGAACAGAAACACCTTGGGCCATGTTGTTGACCCTTGGATCTCTCTCTCGGTTCTCACCCTCTGCTAGAGCTCTCCACTGTAGTTCTCACGCCAAGGGGCTTTTTACACTTTCTTCTACTTACCTTGCTTTCTCTGCATGTCCTTTTAGATAGAAGTCTTTGTGTCAGCTGAAACAAAGTTCCCTACTACAAATTTCTAATGCAGCTTCTCTTCTCCGCAGGGCTAACAATTAGTCTGTAACAAAAGATGGGTTTTTGGGATAATGATTTGGAACTTCTTCCTGTGGTAAAGCCACAATAACTCGCCCATCTCTGAGTCATGAGGGCTTGATGGCACAGTGCATCGTATGCCTGTTCCTCATTCATGTGTATGCCGGCGCAGTCCTGGTGCTAGGGTGAAAGGCACAGCTGCCCTGTAAATCAGGAGCCGTGTGTGATTGGCCAAGGGCTGGTCTGCTGGGGTAAGGTTCTGGCAAGAAGCCAGAGGGACTTCCCCACCCCAGCTTGGCCTTGGACCCAAGCCAGAAATAGCAGCTGGGAGCCGAGAACTTGTTGAAAGGTACTTAGACAGGGCACAGAAGCCCAACAAAGGACTTAGAGGGGAAAGGAAAATATAGAGTGGCCTGGAAACAGGTGCAGAGCTTAGCCAAGGCCAGGTGTGCTGTGGATGCTGCCTGCACCCTCCCAGTCTCACCTTTCCGTGTGGTGGCAGGTGCAGCCCAGTCCAGTTTATGAAGAATCTTATTTGTGGTTGGCACTATCAAAAGGCCAGCACCTGCCAGCCGTTGGCATTCTGAGGACTTTGATGTTTTTGTCCATGGGGCAATGCTCTTTGCCTTTAGGCAACTGACTTAACCTGGATGTGGAAGGCAGTTTAGTGTATCCACATACTGGGGAAGCTACCAGCAGAGACTAAACGTAGTTGGCTCAGATGCATGAAATGCTTATAGCTATACTTCCGGCTACCTCCAGTCTTATCTCCCTTCAGAAGTATTCACCAAAGGGTATTTCTTGAATACTCCTCTAGATCTGTTTCTTAGAAACAGGGCTCAACTAGTTCAATTCCAAGGCTTTTTTCTAATTTTCAGATTCAGCAGCTCACTGGTTGATACTCTGCTGTTGCCAGCCCATGATTATCAGTATGGTATTAATGAGTTTCGTGAATGCTAGACTGCTGAAGGGATGTATACAAGCCTGAGACTAAAGAAAGCTGTGAACTCTTTTGCCACAGAGTGACATCACTGTAAGATGATATGGACCTTAGAACAGGCACTCACTTCAAGCTGCTAATTGCCTCCTGTCACGTGCTACCTTTATATTGTAGCCCATACAGTGGTCACTAGAGCTGTTACTCTGTATTGTTTTCCTGACTGATCTGGAAGATCCTACACCTGAGACTCTGGATTATACAGCTAGACTTACGGGCTGCAGACCAGTCAACCTTCTGGGTCTTTCTTGGATTGTGTGTAGCTGTTTGGTTCATGTTTCTGGTTAGATTGAATGGCATGGTCAGAATGTTTATTTCTTTGACCCCACATGTTTCCCTTGAGGATTTTGGAGTCCTAGGAGCAGAATAGATTGGGTCTTGGAGGCTGACTTCTCACAGCTTTTCTTTGTCGTCATTAGGACCTGGTCCCAGTGTTCCCCCAGTATATGGCTTAGAAGTGTCTGACGTCTCGAAGTGGGAAGAGTCTGTTCTTGAACCTGCTCTTGAAATTGTGCGAAGTTTCATCCAGGTGATTATTAATCATGGTACTGTCTATTGTCTGGTTCTCACAAAGCTTTCCTTTGCTGACACCTTTGTTGCTATTCTGGGAACCAAGCATTCTTTTCCGTGGAATAGAGCAGAAGGCTGCTTTTAAATCCCTGGAGGCTGCATTTCTACTTTCACTTTCAGAAAGGTTGTTGTTAAAATCTCTTCACAGCCCACCTGCTCTCTGGGATGAGAAAAAGGAATCTTGGGAAAATCTCACTCCTCTTAATATCAGAGTATAATATCCAAATCTCTTTGAATCAAATGCTTCTCCCCCATCCCTGCCTTTTTTTTTTTTCAGGGCCACAAGCCTGCAGCTACTCCAGTAAAGATGCCAAGCAGTGAAACTGAGAACAAGAGAAGTTATCACATGTGTGACCTCTGTGATCGAATCATCATTGGGGACCGTGAATGGGCAGGTAGAGTCTAGGATAGAGAAATCTGTAAGGGTGGGTCACACTGACTTCATGAAAAATTTAAGGTCTTTGGTAGGTTGAATGCTGGAGTCTGCTTGTTTGTAAAAAAAAAGACCAGATTCCTCTAACAGCCTTTGTTCAAATTTCATGGAGAGGCCTTCTCAAACGGGAGAGTTATCTCTGTATTCTCAATTTCAAAGGAAGATCATATGCCCTCTAGCTTCAGCTAGAGTAGATATTTTACTGAGAGGTCTGCAGTTAACTTGCCAGAGCTCCTTTGACTTTCATGATCCTGCCTGAGTAGTTTCTTGGTCTCATGTTTAGACCTCAGTGGGGGTGAGGTAGGATTGTAAGGGAAGCCAGGCAACTCACCCAAGAGGCCAAAGGAGCAGAAACAGCTGGGAGGGAACAGGAAGTGCAGTTACTCCTCCTGAGTACATTCTTCAAAAGTGGTGTCTCTCCAGTAACTTTTAAGGTAATACGTTGAAATGGTGTTGGTTGCAAAAACTGTGATGGAAAGTGTTAAGGGAAACTGTGTGAAAGCAAGACGGTTAGGCACGCCGAAAGATGGTGGTCAAAGGGTATGTACTGTCTTCTTCATAAGGCGCTCCTGACCAACCCAGGAACAGCCCTGCACCGAGGTTCTAGTTCCCTGTTTCAGAGCCTGGATCTGTCTTTGCCATAGAGTCACATTGCACTCCCCTGTCGGATTTCTGCCGTAATCCAGCAAAGCTCAAAAGGGCCTTAGCCTCTAAGCCTTGAATTTACATTGTATTTAGAAACTTGTTGAAGGCTCACTCCTTTTAGGCACAAGCAGGGCTTGTATTTTACCCAGCGGCTGGAATCCCGTTCAGAGTACTGCTTTGCATGGCATTCTCATAGAAGTGGATTTTTCCCCCATACCAACCAATAGAACGATTAGTTCTATTAACTGTTAACGCTGGCAAAATGAACTGCATTGTCAGAGACTGGGGATGGCTGTGATTGCCCAAGCAGCAGAAGAAGCCTCAATTATCGTTGGTTCATAATGATGAAAGGGGAAGAGAAAGAGAGTGTCTGATTGTTTTTTCTAAAGGAAACTTAGTGGTTTGATTTGTCAAATGTCCTTCAGGGATTGCCACAGAGAAGCAACATTTGTGAGCCTTTGTGAGCGTAGCTTGTGTAAGTCCTTCTATAGTGCCATCTGTCAAGTCCTTGCTCTCCCATCTCCTGCTGCCATGGAGAGTCAGTCCAGAAGGCCACTTTTTGCCGTAGGCTCTAGCTGGAGACAAAGCTGACTTTTTTCCTCAAGTAAACTTTTCCTTGACTTCTAACCTCTTCCTTACCTACTTTTGCTTCCAAATCCCTAAAAATGATGTTTTAAGTAAGTATAAAAGAACTTAATCTCGTTGTCTATCTTTATAGGTGTTTCCAGATAAGATTTCCTTGAAAAAGAACAGGATGGTAAAAAGGAGCTTGTGTGAGTTAGTCAGAAGCTGAGAACTGTCTTTGGGGTGAGAGGTCAGAAATTGATATCAGCCAATAGTAGCTTTTCAGCTTTACTGCTTCTGTGGATCCTTGAAAGGGATCATCAGAAAAGAATACTTGCTGTGATCTCTCTGGTGCATTGTGTGCTGGAGAATGCGAGTATCTGGGTTAGTCATTCAGATGGCTTATCTGACCCAGGCATAGGGATGTCACATCAGGAGGGGCAACCTGAGCGAGCTGGTTAAGAAGAGGGAAGGGCGGCTCTGGGTATTGTAGGCCTGAACCACCTGTCCTGCAATACAGATAAGAATTTGGATTTGTAACTTATTTATTTATGTATTTATGGCTGCGTTGGGTCTTCGTTGCTGCGTGCAGGCTTTTCTCTAGTTGCGGCGAGCGGGGGCTGCTCTTCGTTGCGGTGTGCAGGCTTCTCATTGCCTCTCTTGTTGTGGAGTACGGGCTCTAGGCGCACGGGCTTCAGTAGTTGTGGCATACAGGCTCAGCAGTTGTGGCGCATGGGCTTAGTTGCTCCGCGGCCTGTGGGATCTTCCCGGACCAGGGCTCGAACCCATGTCCCCTGCACTGGCAGGCGGATTCTTAACCACCGGGCCACCAGGGAAGCCCTGGATTTGGAACTTTTGAGATGTGTGAGTTGAAATGTATCTGTAACAGGCAGCCCTATATGGGAAAATTGAGTCTGGAGCCCTATTCTGGAAAATTGACTCGCTTTTTGAGCTATAGGTAATCCGAAGAGCTTACCTGCTGTGTGACCTAGGACACAATGTAAGACCTCTGAAATCAGTCTCCTCCTGTATAAAATGAGCTGAATAATACTGTCCCGCAAGATTGTTGTGTGGATTTAGTGATATAAAGCCCCCAGCAGTTATACGTGATATGTGGTAGCTAGTTTGCTAGCTAGCTGGCCATATGACTTATTCTTCTCTTAAAAATGCTAAGCAGCTGTACCAGTACATGTGTTGATCCTGTTGTTGTTAAAGAAAAGGATTGTATAGTTAATTTTGTATGCTTCCAAGATTAGTTGTAGAAAATCCTAATTTTTTTGTTTGTTTTGCCTTAGCACACATGAAATCCAAGTCCCACTTGCACCAACTGAAGAAAAGAAGAAGGTTGGACTCAGATGCCATCACTACCATAGAAAGTCAGAGTATTTCCCCAGACCATGATAAAGAGCTTAAAGAAAAGGGATCCCTAGGGCAGAATGATGAAGAGCTGAAATCCGGCGTTTAAGGGACTTGTCCAGTGGCCTTTGCATACGTGGGGGGGGTCCAGTTCTTTCATTCAGTGGTGTGGTTTTATTTATTTCTTTCTTTTCTTTTTTTTTTTTTAGTGGTGTGGTTTTAACCTCTCATGTTCTCTGTCATGGAAACAGCAGGCCTTGTTAGCTCCTGTGTGGCTGATATGTCTGGTCTGGTAATGAGTTTGGGAAGGGCTTTTTTTTTTCTTTTAACCTTAAAGTTTCTATTTTTGAAAGAGGCACAGATTGCACTTTTTTACATTTGATCTTTTTGGTGACTGGGATTTACTGTATCCCTTAAAAAAAAGTTTTATGTCCTTGACTCTGGCTGGAAATATCTAATTTCCAGACACTTGTATAGATGATTGAGTCATTGTGAGCCACAATTCAAGATTTCTGGATTTGGGTGAATGGCAGTAAAGGATCAGCCCCAGTGAGATAATTAAGTGAACCAAACCAGTTTTTGGAATTGCATGGAGACGGAGAGAATCAGACTGAGGTGGTTGTGACATGGAACTTGAAAACTGAAGACTGACATTTGTTGAGCTCCTCCTGTGTGATAATCACTGCTATCTTTCTATTGAGTTAGGAGACTATATTTTTATTGAAAGTTAAATAAAGAAAAAGTTTGCAAGAACCTCTCTAGTCCTTAAAAAGATGTTTATGTTCATGTCTAACTTATATACAGTATGCTTTGTTTTCAACATGAGAGCTTTTTCTCAAAGTCGATGTTCTTAATATGCTATCTATTTGTTTATTTAGCACATGTTTATTGAGCACTTACTATATTCCTGGAAAACATCTGGAGAGGATCTTTTTTTTTATTGGAGATTTGTTATCTCCAGTTGAAGCTCTCTTATTGGAGTGACCTGAGCTACCAGCAACGTGAGTATACATATATATGAATATAACATAAGATTAAACATTTTTAAGTTTGCAGTTCAGCAGCGTTTATGTTGTGCAACCAAAACTTTTTCATCACCCCAGACAGAAACTCTGCACCCATTAAGCAGTAACTCCTCACTCAAGCAGTATTTTATTTGTTCTGAATCTACTATATGAGAGGCCCTAGAGTAGGCTAGAGGGATACAGAGATACAATGAAATGTGGTTCTTGCTTTCAGGGAGCTTGTAAATATCTTATATATACACAGACAACAAATTTAGGTAAGAGACTATCAAAGACCGTAAGAGCTGTATAGAATTTCACTTTGGAGGGAAGAGGGGAGGGATCGTGGAAGAAGGCGCATTTCTGCGGGACCTGAAAAAGCAGTTCTTTGTGAATGTATGTGAGCTAGCTATGCAAAAGTTTTATTTTTTCACTAGATTTTTTTACATAGTTCAATTTTCAAAAATCAAAATCATATAAAAAGACAAAGACATTCATTGAGAAATCTCGCTCCTACCTCCATCCCCTTCTCCTCCCATAGATAACCACTTATTAGTTTTTTTACATACCTCTCAAGTGTTTTTTTAAGTATCAATAAATATGAACAAATACAAATATATATTCTTATTTCTTCCCCTTACCCAAAAGATAACAAAGAGCACATACTGTCTTTATCCGTTACCTTACCTGTTGGCAGTACCTGGGTGTGCATGGGTTTCCCCTGCCTCCTCTGGTAGGTCTCCCGTTTCTGTTCTTTACCACCCTCCCGAGGGTCCCCCAGTTGAGCACAGGCCATAAGCATACTGAACTTGATTCAGATGCCAGGGTTAGGCCAAAACCAGCCTCTGAGGAAATCTTAAGCTATGGCCAGCCCTTTCATTCAGCCAGCAGATATTTTAGAACTTACTATGTGCCAGGTGCTGTGCTGGACTCTGGGAATCCAGTGATCAAAAAAGTCCACATTGATCAAATAATTACAGCTGTAGTAAGGGCTATAAAGAAAGGACACTCGCGGTGAGTGCAGGTAATCCACAGTCCTGCCCGTGCTTGGTGTGTGGGAGTGTGTGTGGGGGTGGGGAGGTGTGTGTCGAGGTGCGTGGTGTGACACAGCAGGATGCTGGGGCAGGAGTCTGAAGCCAAGACTGTACGTGGTACCCCGTGGTCTGGAAAGCTGGGCTTCTCAACTTGACTTCAGTGGCTTCTCCTCCCCCAGTCTGTGGGATATCCTGGCCCCCTTGGGTTTTATTGAGACTTACCCACGTTAACTGATTTGAATCTCAAGAATAAATGTATTCTTTGGTCAGAGAAGAAATTGTCATTGAATCCACGTCATCTTATTCTTTAGATTAAATGTGTAATTTTCCCAATCAGTTTATTAACCGCTTCAGGAGCTAATGGGGTGGGAAGCGGTATCTTCCCACTGGAAGTGGAGGTGAATACTTATTGTGAGCCAAGGGGGACCAAGCAGTTTATATACATTAGCTTCTCATACAGTCCTGGGAAAGAGACGCTGTTTCTATACATGTTTACCAATGGGGAAACGGGCTCAGCAAAGGCACCCAACTAGTAAGTGGCAAAGCCGGGATTGAGGCGAGGCCACAGAATTAAGAGTTCAAGCTGTTGAGCCCTGTGTTAAGGTGGCTGGTTTTAAGGAGGAACATTAGTCTCTGAAATGCTCTTCACACAAGTTGCTAAATATGTTTTAAAGCTTAAAAAAAAGTTTCAGTGGAGAAGCAGGAAAAACTAGTTTTAATAATCCTTCCTTAAAAACCTTTAATCCGTCCATCTGAAATACCTGGAGCAGTAACTTCTCGTTGAACTGACTCACTGCTATCTCTCTGGCAGTTGGAAATCAGGGATTTCTTGAAAAAGAAGAATCAAAGTGCCCAATATTTAACTAAGTTTAAGGCACTGTGGTTGTGCCTGCTACCCCTGTTCTTAGACTCAGCAGGATGGAATTCCTTTACCAGCAGCAGAGGGCCTGAGGAAGGCAGAACCCTCACTAGGAATCTCCTTGGTGCCCTGGCCTGAGGCACTGCCTTGAGGTGGATGTCCCCTGTCTGCCTGCTGCCCTCTGAATGACTTTGCTGTTGTACGTAGGGAAGGGAGTAGCTCTGTCTAATGATCTTCCTATATGTAGAGATGAAAGGCTCCTTAGCACCTTCTTGTATGGATGGGGAAACTGAGGCCCAAAACATGGATGTTCCACAGCCACAGAGCAAGTTGTGACAAAGCCAGAACAAGCCTGAGGTCTCCTCTCTCACTCAGCTGCCCAATCTCATACCAAATCTCATTTGAGAGCAGGAAGGGGCCAGCTTTGGGCATTTTGTTCAGCCTGGAGTGAGGATAAGGAATGCCATTTTGTACCATCTTGCCTCAGATAATCCCTAGACAAGCAGAGCCTTTCAGCGCAGGTACCCAGAGTCTCCAGTCCATGGCGGTGCTATCTAAATGGCTTTGGCGGTTAATTCCAGCACTCAGCAAGCTATTAGGTCCATCTACCTCTGTCAGTAAAAACCTTTTCCCGTCAGTTTTATTGAGAGATAATTGACAGATAAAGCAGAAATCTTGACTAGACTTTAGACACTTCTTGTAGTTCAGACAATGCTGTTTTAAGTAGGTAGGAAATACTTTGACTCCAGAAAGAGAGGTGGATTCTTAGTCTTTAAAATACTTTGCTTGTTTTTTAGGGCTCAGCAAAAGAACATTTCATCTATAGTCTAGGTATATGGTTTGAGCCTTTGTAATTCTCAGCAATTATTTGTGTTCTTAGCCTCAATCCCACATTCTACAAAGAAGATTTTTCTGCTTAAAACACTCAGCACAACATTAAAACAACAACAATAAAAACACACAGAGAAAAAACACTAGAAAGTAAGCTTTCATGAATGCAGTAACCTGTCTGTATATCCCCAGCGTCTAGAAAGTCAAATATTTGTTGAATTAGTTGCGTGAAAGCCTCACAGTTAAGTGGATTTCTGCATAAATAATCTGCTTTAATTGTTAAATAGCTTTTAACTAAGATGAAGAAATCTTGGGATAGTAGCCACAGGAAGGAATTTCATTATTTGATTATCACCTACTTGGGTGGTTAGGGCTGTTTTCTGAAAAGATGGCTAACGGGTCATTGGTAAAGCTATTTTGAATACGTACAAAGGACGCTGCCTGGTTGTATTAGTTAGGGTAAAAGGCTAAACTGCTGTAACAAAGAGACTCAACAATACAGTGGCTTAAAGAACAAAGAAGTTTGTTTCCTCCTCACATAACAACTCTGAGGGGAGTTAACATTTCCGAAGTGAGCGGTCCAGGTCAGTGGGGCAGCTCCACTCTAAGCGGTCATTCAGGGACACAGATTCCCTGTATCATGTTGCCTCTCCACCCTCTGGGGGGCATTGTCAACACCTGCCTGGTTAAAGTTGGCTCATCTCTGGTTCCAGCCAGTGGGAAGGAGGCAAAGCGTGGAGCAGGCACGCCAGATGCCTTAAGGCCTGGACCCTGCAGTGGCACACATACTTCTGCTCACTTAAGTTTGGCAAGAACTTAGTTACGTGGCCACACCTAACCTGCAAAGGCGGCTGAGAAATGTAGTCAATCCAAGAAAGAATGGGAGAACAGATTTTGGTGGGCAACTTGGAGTCTCCACTAAATTAGTCTCATGGAAAGAACACTGGTTTAACTAATTAGCTCTGCTAGCTCGCTAGGGGCAAATCTCTCTACTTCCCCATCTGTGAAATTAGTGAGTTGTATGAGCTGACCTGAAATATTTCAAAAAGTAAAGCTTGACAAAATCTTGGCTGCTGAGATTTTAAGATGAGAATTAAAAATCGTTACAGTGAACATGAGACTGAGTGAGCCTTGGGGCCAATGGCTAATGCTCTAAAGATGGTGGAAAGGAAAGATGGAAGGTATTTTGGTGGTATTGCAGAATACCTGAACTAAGGGCTGTAACCGTCTACCTCCAGACTTCTTTTGATGTGGGGGAAAAAAAAAGAAACTGCTATTTGTACCTGCAGCTGAAGGCTTTCCTGTCTAATATGCGGTCTGTGCGGCCCTGGGAAGGTTGTTCAAGCAGCCTGAATTTCCTCGTATATAAAATGGAGTTATTACCTCCATTCCAGGGGACATTGTAAGGATTAAATGAGGTCCTTCTGAAAGCAGCATAGTGTTTGGCACTGCAGTGCCTAGTAAGTGGTTGGTATAAATTGGATTTATTTGGGGAAAAAAATTGTTAATGCTACTAAAGTGTTGGTTTATAGTATGGTGTCAGTTCCCAGAAGTTATCAGGGCAAGCTCTGACTCAAAACTGACTGGTTTGGTGGTCCACGGGGCTACTGGCTAAAAATTGGGCCTCAGGCTTTATCTGTCATCCAACCAGGCTTCAGCTGTTAGTCGTTACTGTTTTTTTTTTTTTTTTTTTTTT